GTATGTCTGTGTGTACTTGTGTCTGTACAGTGTGTATGTGTGTGCATGTTTGAAAATGTGCGCATGGATCGGGTTTGTATTAGCGTAGCCGAGTTCAAAAGTGGACGCGTAATCCTGTGGGGTAATACAAGTAGTATGCACTGTATAGTATTAACGGTTCTAATTTATTTGCTGGGGGGGGGGCAAACTAAGTTTTGTCTGTGCTGTACAGGTTTTAGTGTCATTGTTTTGCTTTTTTTCTGATTTTATTTTACTTACTTTTACTTTTTCATCCTCTATTGCCGTTAAGCGTCGAGGGGGGTGCAGTTTTCTTTGGTAGGCCAGCTCCGCAGCTCTTTCAGTTGTGATTTATTATAATTTTAACTGCACTGCGCGCAATAGCATTGACTTTTTGCTTCGGATCTAATAAATAAGAAACAGCAAATAACTTGAATAACTTGAAAGCTATGCGTCCCGTTCTTTCCTCTTGAGTGGAAAGGGGGGGGGGGGTCTCGAGGTCTACAGGTTAAGGTGTTTGCCTCTCATTCAACAGGTCTTGGGTTCGAATCCGGACAGCGACGGAAATTTTCTTATCTATAATGTTCTCCTTTCATATCCTTTCCTGCTCTCTAACAATGTTCTGTTGTCTGCTTTCGTCTCCACTTTCTGCCACCACACTCTCACCTCCTTTGCCCCCTCCTCTGGACTCCTGACTTTTTCTGCAGCCTTTTTACTGCTACTATTTGGTTCCTTCTTATTGCTGTCTTTCCGTCACACCCCTGATCTTGAGGCAGGAAAGATCTACACCTAGCCTTCTTAGACAAAGGTGAAAAATCTCGGAGGTCCTGTGTGCAAGTTGCGCTCGGTAAAGATACGCTGGTGATCCAAAATCGATAGAGTAGGCTTCGGCCGCCACCCGTGCAAAATTCAAAATTTCCTACACACTGGAAATGTTTAATGGGTCCTGCGCGCTCAGATGACCTTATGCTGTTGCGAGCGCGAGTAATATTACCAAATATTTTTTAATATATTTTCAACAACAAAATTCCTCCAGCCTTTATGCGCGAACTGTCTCTGTTTCGCTCAGCATTCATTCCCGCGGTGCAAGGCCGGGCGTACGCCATGAAAATTTCTACTGCTTAGCGGTGGAGAGTGACGAATGGGCGTAAATGGTCTCATTTGCACACTCCCAGCCGTGCAACGAGTGGAAATTATCTTTGTGTGGGTGGGGCCTGAAGGGACGAGCCGATAACTCAGTTGGTATCGTGCAGGACTACACTGCGGATAACCCAAGTTCGAACCTATGACGTGTTTTACAAGTCTTAAACAAGTTTTCAAGGCTCTCCGCCTACATAGCTCGGTGTTGTCTGAGATGGACATTACCTTCAGAGGTACCGTATACCTGTGCCTCCTAAAAGACTATAATATGCTAATTTTACGAGAATGTTAAACCTAGTTGAATTCTTTTTTTTTAATTCTTTTTTTTTAGTAAATGTCTTATGGCCCTCGCAACTGCATTAGGTCACATTATGAGCGCACGGAACACATAAAACGTTTTCAGTTGGTAGGAAATTTTGAATTTTGCCTGGGTGGCGGCCGAAGCCTATTCTTATCGATTTTGGACCACCAAGAGATCTTTAATGTACCCAACTTGCACACAGGAACTCCGAGATTTTTCGCCCTTATCCGAGAAAGCTAGGTGTAGATCTTTCTTTCAGAAGATCAGAGGTGTGGCGGAAAGACAGCAGTAAGAAGGAGCCAAGGAGTAGCAGTAGAAAGGCTGCAAAAAGTCAGGGGCGCAAAGGAGGGGGCAAAGGAGGTGAGAGGGGTGGGGGTAGAAAGCGGAGACGAAAGCATACGACAGAACATTGCTGGAGAAAAGGAAAGGAGCTGAAAGGAGACAATTTTAGTGAGGAAAAATTTCCGTCGTTATCCGGCTTCGAACCCGAGACCTATTGAAAAAGAGGCTAACACTTTAACCTATCTGCTACGAGAGCCCCATTTTGAATTTGTGACGTGTTTCACAAGTTAGGGTCTTAGTGACTCTTAGTCTTACACAAGTTTTCAAGGCTCTCCGCCAACATAGCTTGGTGTTGTCTGAGATGGACGTTACCTTCGGGGGTACAGTATATCTCTTAAATGACTACATTGATTTCACAAGTGCATTAACCTTTTGAAGCCGTAGCTGGCACATAATAATAATATTATACGTCAGATCATCAGCTTACCAAAGAAAGTGTTGACGCACATCTCGAACCATCATAATACATAAATCAGAAACATGAATTGCATAGTTCATAGTGTGAATGCTTTTTTTTTTTTCTAAGTTTCAGATAAAGAAAATCAAAACATCGAGCACCCAATGAGTTTTTAAAAGCCAGCACAATACACAGGCGGAAGAAACGAACAATGGAGAGGCTCGCAATCCTTATTTTACATGTCTTCCGCCGCTTTCTTCTGAGGGAGGAGTAATTTTGTGTCAACATGTAGGGGCGAGCGTTTACTATCTACCATGGGCGACAAGAGACTACTGGGCTCAGTAATAAGATTAAATATGAATAATTCATTTCAGTTT